GACATACAACAAAAATTGATCGAAGGAATGAAAGAATTTTGATGAGGAAAGAACTTCTAGAAAATTGAATAGATCATTGAGGCGACACAATGGAGTGAGAGTATCAGATAGAACAGTTCGTTTTAATTCACTCCGATGGTCGGATGCTATGCTATGCAGAGTATGCTACATTAACTTAATTGAACATGTTTAGTCAAATTTAAGGGTAAGATTACGCGATGTGTCTCCCAAAACCTTAAAAGACCTAATTGAGGCCCTACGCGAAGAGTGGGAGAATATTCCCACAAGATTTCATAAGAAATCTTAATCGATGTCAATCAAGCATCGAGCAGGAGGACCAACAAGGTATCAGGTTTTCAATATTTTTTTTGAAATGAAACTTCTTAGGCGGCAGTCTAATATTTGGACGAGAATAGAGAGTGATTTGTAAGACGCGTCACAGTAAATGTAGCTAAATAAAAAAAAAAATATTCGTATTTTTCATCTTGCTTAGACTTTAGAAAATCTACGTAAAATCAGGTATCCAAATCTGAAAAAATCGTCAAAATTTGTGCATCCGATATCGAGCTATAAACCAGAGGCCCACTGCCAAAAAGTGAACGATAATAATGCCTTCTGAGGTTTTGGCAATTATGCATATGCTCGTCAATGTGCAAGCAAAATTATGGGGTGACCGCGGAACTCGCGCTGAGGACGTTAATTATTTATTGTTAAAAGCAAAGACGAGCTTTGGAATGATAGTATAACGAATACTGAGCATACCAATCCATATTTATGAATTAAACTCCATTGGAAAACGATCGTCATACCAACGGTCATACGGTGTGAGTGAGATCTAAGGGTCGTCGTACGCCCTCAAAATTCCCCATTTTTGAATGGGCCTATCCTCAGGTCTCACGTACACCGTATGCCGATCGTTTTCCAATGGATTTTTATTCATAAATATCGATTGGTATGCTTGGCATACGTTATATTATCTTTCTAAAGCTCGTTTTTGTTTTGAACAATAAACAATTAACTTCTTCAGCGCAAGTCCTGCAGTCACCCGCTAAACTTTCTTGCAGGTTGACGAGCCTATGCATAGCTACCAGAACCTCAGAGGGCATACGTTATACTATCGTTGTACTTTTTAGCAGTGAATTTATGGTCTATTACGGTATTTTAAAGATTTTTTTGCCATATTTTGACTTTTAATGGTATATCCAAGGTCAAAGGGCTTAAATCCAAAAAGTGACAAAAACGTCTAGAAGTACTGATGTTACCTTGGTAATAAACCATATTTTAATTACTACAATTTTTTTTTGCCAAAATAGCACGAACACAAACATTTCGATTTTTTGCATCACCTAATTTATCGCCCTGTATATCACAACTCTGGGGTCCTATAAAAAATTTACAATAAGTAGCTTTATCCGGAAGAAACAGGTTATTGAACCCCACAAACCACATTAAAAAAGCTTTATTTTTGCCGAGAATATGAAACTTTGAATTTTGCCTAAAAATCTGTATGTGAAGATCAAGTGTCCAGCAGTTTATACAGGGCGTTCCATTAAAAAAAAAATTTGTTTGGCGCTTAAGGATGCAATTGACAGTTGAAAATTGCCTTTTTTGCTACTTTGACAGGCGGTAAAACCTAAATGGTTAATTTTCGAGGAAAACCGATCTTACATTCTTACCTCAGATTTTCATGAACTATCATTTGACACCAACTTTGATAAATTTTTAACCAGAATTTTTGATCATGGATTAAATTCAAAGTTGTTGTCAAATGATAGTTTATAAAAATCCAAGAAAATAATGTGAGATCGGTTTTCCTCTAATATCAATCGTATAAGTTTTACAGCCTGTCAAAGTTGCAAAAAAGTCAATTTTCAACGGACAATATTTCTAAAACAGTTGAACTTAGGGATTAAAATTTAGTACCAAAATGTATGGAATTAAAAACCCTCCAAAATGATGTTTCACTTGACCCCCCTCCCAATTTAAGATTTTCTAGGAGGTGGCTGTGGTGGATGGGCGGTTGAAAGGGAGGAGTTAAATTTTGTGTAAAAACTCATCTCCCCTCAAATTATAGTTGATGTGTTTCAGGAATTTTCTCCAAAAATGTTCTTCTCCTATAATAGGGGTGGTAAGTTTTAAAATGAATACCCTGTATAGTCCCCGAACCTTTTTTTTTCACCTTGGGACTGCTAGGTTTATAGACCTGTGGCCGGATCCTCGGGTCGGGAAGTAGAGCTCCCCGATAGAACGAATGTTTTGTCCTTGTCAACGTTATCGAAAAGTGACCAAGAATGATAAAGACGAAAAATTTGTTCTCTCGGGAAGCTCTACTCCCTGGCCCGAGGATCGGCCACCTGGTAGAGAAAAGACTGAAATTTAGGGAAGAAAATAAAAATTAGGTTCTGCTCTCAATTTTCTCAATTACTGATTGAATTTAAGAAATATCCATACAAGTATCCATATGAAAAAAAGAGCACAATAATTTTCAGTGATTCAACATGTTTTTCAATAGGCTTATGAGCTTTCTCAGAATGTGAGATCCGCAAACACCTTCAAAATGTTCAATGAGGCCATTTAGTGTGAATAAAGTGTTTCAATCTCATCCTATTATTGAAAATTTGTTGGACAAGGTCAATCATGGAATAGACCTTTAATATGCTATATGCTGCAGACTAGATTTGCTGAATAATGTCAAACGATGGACAGACTAATGGAATAATCAGAGCTGGGCAGGGCTTGAGTGCTTTGTGCTTGCGAAAGTGCTTGAAGCACTTTGGGGGCTTGAAAGCCCTGTGCTTCAAGCCCTTTTATAGATTTGTAATTGGGGCTTGCAAAGTCAATTACTTTAGAAAAGTGCTTGGTAATTTGTAATTGAAAAAAGTAATTCAAGCCCTTTCAATGAGCTTCAATTACTTTTAGAGGGCTTGAAGCACTTTTGGGAGCTTGAAGCCCTGTGAAAGGGCTTGAAGCACTTTAAGAGGGCTTGAAGCACTTTAAGAGGGCTTGAAGCACTTTTGGGAGCTTGAAGCACTTTGAAAGGGCTTGAAGCACTTTAAAAGGGCTTGAAGCACTTTGAAAGGAATTTGAATTGACCATCATTCAACCTATCCCCCACTTAAAAATTTTCGATCCTGTTTTGTCCCTTAATTTTTTTTTCTATTATTTGAACTTGAACCGTCTTATGTCTTTTCTCTCTTAACAATGGAGGTTTTGGGTTTGAGCTTAGAATGGAATTTAAAAAAAAATGAATGAACTTATTATTCAAATAAATAATTAATTTATATTGGTACCCTATTTAACTTTATCACTGGATTTTTTCCACTTTTCCCCATTGAACATTTTGAAAACCTTAAAATTGAATAACCATGTAGTACCCCAAGTACCGGCCCCGTATTCTTGACTGCCCGGGAAGGGAGTGTTCCCGGGAGCATTCCCAGGAGACCGCCTATGCGAGTGTCAATCGATTTAACCAAAACGTGTTTTCAAGCGAAAAAAAATGAAGAGGAAGTAATCTAACCCCACGTTTGATGTTTATTATTGTCTATTTTCCCAAACTTTGAAAGCTGAAAGGCATTTGGGTTTGATAATTTATTTCTTATTTTTAACAACCCTATGAACATCATCACAGTAAGTTTTCGATAATTGCATTCCTCTTATGTGATTTTTTATGCATGAGGGAAATATTCCGCATAATTTTCCGCAGCAAAAATGCCATATTCCTGTTCTTGAACGTCGTGTGGTTCATCAACTTCTGGAGTGTTCAATGCATACCTTTCTAGTTTTGGTTAAAGCCCAGACTCGCGTTGGAGCGTTAACATACGGAGTAACCATATCCACTATTTCGTGGCATACATTTTTGCTTACTCTAAAAAATTTCACGAATTGCTGGTCAGGGGAAAAGGAATTCTTTGAGGCAAAACATCCCATCCTATTTCTTTTGCTTCTGCAGCATTTCCTATGTCTTCTTGGATTATGATTATGTTATCGTATTTAAGATAATTTCATCAAATAATCCACATTAATTTTAATGAGAAAAGACACAACACATACAAAAACGAAAAAATTTGGAACTTGAAAGGAGAAAACGAAAAAGGTTAGAAACCCTGGCGGGAACTCGTTTTCTCTTGCTACATCTCAAAAAAAAACATACTACTGTTACTCTGTGAAATGTAAAGTTCGTCTCTACTATACCAATTCTGTGTGATGAGTGTACGAGGTAGCTTATGCCACTTTGAGAATTTTATTACAAATTCAAAGTGCTTTAGGCACATTTAAAGAGCTTCAAGCACATTTAAAGAGCTTGAAGCCCTTTTCAAGGAACCCCAAGTGCTTTTGATGTGCTTCAAGCACTTTTCAAATCACTTTGAAGGCTTTGTGCTTGTCAAGCCCAAAGCACTTTGAGGGCTTTGTGCTTCTGAAGCACTTTTGAAAATAAAAAGGAATTTGTGCTTGAAATTGAAGCACTTTGATAGAGGGCTTAGGACTTAGTGCTTCAAGCCCTTTTACTGAGGGCTTTGCCCAGCTCTGGGAATAATGAGCAATAGCAATAAAACAAAATGCTGCAGTTTGGAACTTGTTTTGGACATCTCTCTATAGACCTTGAATTGAAATATTGTTAATGCAACAAAAAGCTATAATCTCCACGTCCACCATGTCCAATCAAACAAAATGCAGTATGGGTACCTATCATGCCTATCTCAATGGTACCTAGTAGATTTTTTTCCTTGTTTTATCTCAAATGAGGGAAAAAAATGGTGGAAACGTGAGTGAGGTTAGAATTTGCGACTCATTTAAATTTCAAATGTAAACAATATGCAAATAAGAACAAAATAACATCAGAACAGAACTCATGCAATAACTTTAAATAAAGGCATAATATGGACACAAAAATGTTTAATTAAATCACACAATCAAAACTAGAGAAGTATGGAAGAAAATTATAATTAAGGAGGCCATAAATATCGCCAGTTAAGCAAATTTTTTCAAAAAATATTACTTACCAGGCGTTTGTTCTAAAGAAGTCATAATTAGATTAATCCACTACTCAACATTTAACACATTATTGTACTTTTTACCTCGCCTTGTGCGATTCAATGGGATTGTAGACTATGACTAGGTTGATGACTACACCAAAAATTCAAGAATCAACTTGCTTGTGCTTGCTTGCCAAAATTTACGATTTTCCACGAATCAAGCTGATTTATAAACTCTGACGTCCGCGCCCGCGCCCGCGCTCGCGCTCACGCTCAACATAAATGAAGCAGGCCGGGGCTGCGTTCAGGAATGGCTATAGCCAAGCCAAAATTGGCATTTTGCGTTCGAGTTCGGCTCCGACCTACGTGGTTCGGCATTACCGGTGGAGGGGGAAAAGTAGGTTTTGGCATTAGCATCGCCGTCTATGAACGTACCCCATGATACTAAAACACAGAAGATATGATCATTTTGTGGACGAAATTTGAACGTGTTCGCGCATGACGTCATCGCGTGACAAAAATGTATGGAGATAATAGAGAAATTAGCTTGTTCGTTATAATTTGACTGGCAAATCAGAATTTCTCGTGATAATAATTCAGATATACAAAATAAAACACGATCCAGCGTATAGTGTGTAATTTATTTTACATAAAATAGCTATTTAGAAAATGTTTTTATCATTGAATTGAATAAATTACAAATATACATAAATATATTAGTTTTGGATACAAATTTCTACTTCTACTTATAAATATTAATAATACTTTTTTAACATTTCTTCAAAACAATTCCTGCTGGTTAATAAACATTTGTAACCATAGTCTGGCTGAAGCACGTACAAATTCCAGTCCCCACAGGTAGAATTTAACAAAAATGTGAAAAATGTCACAGTTAAATAATATGTTAAAGACAACTATAATAAATGAAAATTGGAACAGCATTACACCACACATGGCTACTACATACTTTTTATGTATATTTTTGACCAAATCCCTTTCATTATTTGTTTTGTCATAGTCTTTCTGTTTAGATGTTTCAGCTTTCGGAGATTTAATTTTTGATACTGAAGTCCAGCTTCCGATAGCGTTTTTGCACCCATATAAATTATATCTATAACTAGGCATGTTTTTACTTTTTTTTATTATTGTTACTGCTACCTGCTACAATCCACGACCGCACAGTAAACCATCTATTATTAAAGAAACCCAAACACAAATGAACAGAATACAATTTTAACAAGGAGATTTTCACGTAAGAACGGACAAAAATACTAATGAACAGGTAAAACGATTAAAAACGAACAAAAACACGCCAAGACGCCATTAATCGGACCGAATTTGTCACGGGATGACGTCAGCGGAGGGCGAGAGACAGAACATAAACATGCGCGTAATCTTATCTTGTGTGTTCTAGTATCATGAACGTACCCCCCGGATTCTAAGACGTCTTTTTCTGTTGAACCGTGTTTTAAAACGTTTCAAAACTGGTTCGATTGCTACGTCATCATATCGGATCGGTGGTGATCAAAAATGCCCCGTTTTAAAACTGAGCCCATGAAATCTCTAAAATTATTGTTTTGTGGTATTTTAAGGTCAGCTGTTTAATGCCTATTTTGAAACAGGCTGAAAGAGCGGTTCGAAATGGTTGAACCGTTTCCGTATATGACGTCACCGTTGCAACACAAAAATGTAGCGTTTCAAAACGTTTCAAAGCATTTCAAAACATTCCGTCAGAAAAAGACGTCTTAAAATCACGATTCGACATACGACTCGATAACGAGACGATTTTTCCGACGATTCTAGGTTAGAAATCTCATTGAAATTATACCTTTCGACACGACAAGGCTGGTATCGTTGTCGAGTCGTGATTTTAGAATTTCGGCCCAAGATCACGAAGTTTGATTTATAAACACAAACGCCCGCGCCCGCGTTCGAGTTCGCGCCCGAGTCCGCGCTGGAGATGGCCAAGTTTTATCTTCGACGCTCGCGTTCGAGCGCCTGGCCAATGAAAACAGGTTATTTGACATGCATGCGCAACAACCAAATTTGTAAAATTTTGAACCTTTCTATTGTTGTTAATTTTGTGAGTCTTTTTTTCAAATTTATTTCAAATAAAAATGAATCAAATAAACCATTGACTCTGAGCACAAAATAAACAGAAAAAGAATGAATACGAAAAATATATTGAGGTTATGTCAAATATTATCAAAATACACGGGCCAATCACACTGCAGCAACAAACGACAGTCAAAAAGTTTATAAATCGTTTCCAACACGAACTCGGGCGTGAGCGCGAGCGCGGGCGCGGGCGTCAAAGTTTATAAATCCAGCTTCACAATCAACTATCAACTTTATAATGGCTGGTGCGTGCGTGCACCGGAAATTAAACTACAGCTGCCTTGTTTTGGGCATGCGCCCACGGATACAGCATTGCCAACTCAGATTTCAAACCAACAAAAAAAAAATAATTATTTTGAAAATGCATGCTTGGTTTTTATTGAATCTTATCTTAATTCATAAAATGTGGAAATTATCCAGTATTTGTTTGAGAGTTTTCTGCAAACAGCATAATAAATAATTAGGCAATTCAAACCACGTGACATTCATGATGGCGTGGCCGCCACACATGGGCCAAAAAACACAAAAAAATATCTAGTTTCTGCTCGAATTAATAGTTTAGGTACCTACTTAACAAATATTTTATTAAATAATGAAAATCAAAGTTGTAAGCAAAACTCTATGCAAAATAATTTAAAATACGCATAAAAACATATTCAAAACAAACTTGCTTGGCCTCCACGCCACATTGAATTTTCCTTAAATTCTTCTTTTTTACCTTAAATTTTGTACACAAACTGTGGCACTTGCTACTTGCTACGAGGCAACCTCTCCGTTTGTTGTCAAGCTCTGCCATGGCGCCAAAAAAGCTTGTTGTTAACATTACATAACCTCGTAAAGTAAATGTGGTTTATTGTTTTTAATTTTTATTACCCTTTATTTAAGCTGGGTTTATACAGGAAATAAAATAACATAAAATAAGAAATAAAATAAAATTAAAAGATGGCCTTATGAGAACTCATGGTGGCGTTTATACACAAAAATAAAATAAGATAACAAATAAGCAAAAATAAAAAGTTGGTTAACTTTTAACTTCTTATTTTATTTTATGTGAAAATGCTATTTGCGCATGTCACGACGTCGATTAGATTAGACCGATGACAGTTCAGGCGCGTGGTGATTGGTTCAAAATAATTTTAATTTTATTTTATATTTTTCTGTATAAACGCCTTATTTCTTATTTTGCGTATTTGTTATGTTATTTCTTATTTTATTTTATTTTATTTCCTGTATAAATCTAGCTTTAATTTAATTTTTATTAATGAAGGCAGTTCAATAGAAGCTATTACTAATCTTATGTAAATTGATATGTTCCATAAAGTAATAAAACAAAGCTTTTGTGTTGGAAATAAACTGTTCCAGATGGGTGAGTATTACCAAAGTTTGTGTATTACCAGTATTACCAGGCTTGTTCCAAGAAAATTTTCAAGTGTGCATTTCATATTTCATTTAACCAATGAAAAATTGTGCATATTAGTTTGAGATTGTGCACATGCTTAAAAATGACGTAAAACTGACGCAATTATGCGCCTCTCTTGGGTTTTACAGAAAGCAGGGGTATAACGTCCTACAAGTTGTCGAAGCATTGATATTTATAGATGGCGACGAAATAAAAATAATAAAATAAAAATTACAGTGACTCGCGTCGCGATAAAAAGAGCTCTGTTCCAACAGACATGAGAACCGTTCCAGAACCAGTAATTTCCAGTTGCCCACCTATTTTTCAATAAGTTGAACGTTTATCCTAATTGACAAATGAATTGATCAACTGGAATTTACCGTTCTAGGACGGTTCTCATGCCTGTTGAAACAGAGCTCTTTTTACCAACAGTGATGGCAATGGAAGTAAGCGGCCATTATATGGCTCATTTGGCTCTCTTTTCCCAGTTACAAGTCTAGAGCTTAGCATTCAAAATAACAGATGTCAGTAACCACAACCAAGGCGCAAAGCGAAGTTGCCGAAGGTTTTCTGAGGGGAAATCAGGGAATTTTTTTTTGTTTTGGCTGGATGTGAAAATTGTGCATATGTTATGAAGATTGTGCATATTGAGATCAGATTGTGCATAATATGCACAATTGTGCACCTTGGAACATCCCTGAGTATTACCACTGAAAACGGGAGGTGTTTCACCTACCAACACATTAACCTTTTCAAAAATAAATTTCCCCATATCCTAATTTTTTTTTTAAGTTAAATTTGCCATTAACTACCTTTTATTTCACAATTTTCTCAATAATTTGAAATTTTATTTCATTTGTCTATTTGTACTTGTATTTCCCCGAGTATTTCCCTTATTTTTCCACTCAATTTCACCAGAATTGCTTTATACATCATAATTATCGAAAATAGTATAATTTTCCATTATTCCCTTCTAAGTCAACTTTTATTTATGAAAAAGTGAAGATGATTAGGCGCAAAAGAACCACAGCCTGAATCGTAAGCTTCCCATCGAGGCCTGCGGGTTACGTCACTACGATAAGCTGCTGATAGTGGTGACATCACTCGCAGGCATGCCGACTGGAGAATTGGCAAACCTACACCTTATTAAGATGAGCAATCCTGTAATCCTGTTAGTATACGGTTCTTGATTAAGGTGTAATATGCTCACTTAATAGTCACTTATAAATATAATAAGTAATAAATATTAAGTAATAATACTTAGAACGTTGGATCTAATCATCTCTAATTCTAGTGTGCATTTAAGTGTTGGTGGATCTGACAGTCCCCTTGTCATAGAAGACCCGTACCAACCAGCTCTTTCGATAAACATATCATTTGAGAAAGCTCAGGCTGAACAGCATTGGGCCAAGAAATATGTGTATGATTTTTCTAAGGGAAATTATACTCTTTTGTATCAGCTGTGACTGGTCAGAGTTATGAGTTATGGCAGTCTCAGGACTCTGAAACGAGCTGTGGAGTATTTTATAAGATGAAAATATGAAAGCACTAGGAAAAGGGAGCGTTGAAAGTAGGTACATCATGCATCTTAAAAAATGTACTATATGTGCCTGATTTGTCCAAAAACTTACTATCAGTAAACTCAATCACAGAAAATGAGTATATTTTTCAAAAGATAAAGTTATAATAATGAAGGACAACATAGAAATAGTTAAAGGAAATAAATGTATGTTGTAAAACTAAACCAAGAAGATCAAGGACTTATGGTTGAAGAAAACAAAAACAATGGTAAAAATTGGCACAGAAAATTAGGTCATCCAGGAATTGTAAATATGAAAAAACTATTAGACTTAAGGCTGGTTCATGCATAAATTTTTTTTCTGTTTCTTTAACTTTTTCCTTATGCATAAGCTTTTCTTTTTCCATAAAATTTGAAGTATTTCATGCACCAAAAATTAAGAGTTTTTATCAGTCTTTAATAATGACATTGTTGACGTGTATGGGAAACTGCCAACGGTTTGTTGGGTTTTATCAGGGTGTTATAAATATTATTTCCCACGTTATTTTCAATTTAGACACGTATTTTAAGTCGTATTTGTTGTTTCCTTTAAAAAATTTCCTGTTTTTGAGGTTAAGTCGAGAAATATGGATGTTTTCATCTACTGCGCAGGCGCCATCGAATTTATCTGTAACTTTATCCGTAAAAGATAAAAGTTAACTATCTTTAATAGAGAATAAAGAAAATGATACGGAAAAGTAATGTGCATGAACACCTGCATATAAATACATGCAACTTATACATTACTTACGGATATAGATAGCGACTAAGTTACGGAAACGGAAAATATTTTCATGCATGAACCAGCCTTTAGCAGATGGTATAAGGCCTGTTCGCACAGCAATCACAAACCAGTCAGAGCGAATCTCATTGGTTGAAAACAGTCAGAAACAGTCAGAAAACTAGTTTCAACCAATGAAATTCGCTCTGACTGGTTGGTGATTTCTGTGCGAACAGGCCTAATAACATTAAAAAAAATTGACTTAAAACAAGTTGAAAACTGTGAAATATGCATCAAAGCAAAACAAACTAGACAGCCATTTAAAACAGTAAGAGAAAAGGCTAAAAGAGTTCTAGAAATTTTGCATACAGACGTTTGTGGCCCTATAGATCCAATTACATGGGACGAAAAAAAGTATATTTTAACAATTGTAGGATTATAAATACGTCATTGATAAATACTATACAATTGGCACGGAAAATCACAATAACAACTTCACAACTAAGTATAGGTACACGTCTTGGTCGTTTTACAGCTTTAGAAATATACGTCTTGATAATTAAATTTACCTCGTCTAAGAAAAATCCCTCCACGGCCGTCTTCCGCCTTCAGCGTTCAATTAACGATTGACCCCTCTTTTTAATATTATTCCTTCGTGGCTACTTCCCGACTGGCGCCGTGCCATTCGGTGCCACCCTGTTACACGAGACCAGCGTTGCCAGACTCTAAATATGGAAGTGTGGTACACAATGCTTAAAAACTGTCGTACAGAGACGTACGCGCCACGAATACTTGTGGTACACATTACCTTACGTTTTTAGTACATATTTACTAGAAAAAAATGTGATTTTTTTGAGATCGCAAAATGTTGAAAACTTGAAAATAGACCTTGCATTAAAAATTACAGCAACAGAAGTAACGGGAAATTGAATTAAACTATTTATTAAAGTCTCGAATAAAGTATTTCGTGGGTAATAAGTCAAATTGAAATAAATTCTTTTATAATGTTGACAATAGAGAGTTATTGGAGATTTCAAAATAAAGCTAGCAGTAATAAGACAACTACCCTATTTAAATAGCGTTTTACATAAGCGCGGTTGGGAAGGGAATCCAAACCACGTGACTTTTGCCAACCAGTCGGCATTTTGGAATTTTTATAAGGTTTAGAAGACGGGTTTTTATATGTCAGCGATGTCAGAAAAGTGTCAGATTTCAGAACTCATCCCTTGTATTCATCTGACAGCTTAGCTTTGCTGACAAATTTCAAAAATCCGTTAAAATAAGGGCAAATTATATCGGGTCTTCAAAAAAAAAACTAATCGAAGATTGCTTTGGTTACGAAAACGTACGTCGCATTATTAGGTCTGTTCGCAGAGAAATCACAAACCAGTCAGAGTGAATCTTATTGGTTGAAACTAGGTTTCTGACTGTTTCTGATTGTTTTCAACCAATGAAATTCGCTCTGACTGGTTTGTGATTGCTGTGCGAACAGGCCTATTGTTTGTTTATTGGTCAGGATTTTTGACATGACATTTTGACATTAAATTTCATTGACTGATATTGTCAAAATTAAAGAAAAATATTGCTAAGA